GGCCGTAAAGGACACACACACACACACACATGCACACGATGAGGCCTGACACGTTTGAATATCATCAGCACCACGCAGAGGGGTGGGTGTTTGTGAAGAGTTGGGAACAATGGTGGAAGAAGAAGCTCAGGTACAGTCTGAGGTCCACCTGTTTCACACCAACTTGCACAAGTCTCGCCTGGTGCGGGTGGGAAAATCTGGATTCCAAATATAAAACAGATCTGGTTCTGTGAATCGGTGTCACACTTTCTCGAGGTTCGCACGTTCTGCTGGGACTTGATAAACCGAACAGATTTCCCTCCGTCTTGCTCGAAACTTGTGAGTTCTTGTAAACAATGGGGGGGAATTTTGGGGGTTTTGCTCGTGAAGCGAGTTAACAATAAGCCAAAGGGCCTCGAGTCTACACGAGCTGCTTGTTGCCCTACTTGTCCCCCCACAAACCCCCTCCCTCCTCTGTTGCTTTACTTCTCTGTTCCACCTCGTCTCCCTTAAGGCTGCTGTTCCCTCTTTCCTCCCATCAGAGGAGAAGGGAGGTCCGAAAGAGGGCAACCTCCAAATAAGTTCCATTAATCACAGGCCAGGGACTAATGTAACTAATATTTTACAATTAGAGAAGACAGCAGTGGGCTCAGAGCCATCCATCTCTTCACCACATGATCCTCCATTCACAGAGCAGCCACTTACATTCAGAGGAGTACACACACACACAAGTACATTTACTCTTTCCTACACAAATAAATGTTTGCAAATGCATTAAAACGACTAATGCGAGGTGTTAAAAGAAGAGCGGAGATCTGTTTGTAGTGGAAGTGAAAAATTACCGATTCGGGCATAAAACGGTATTGATGCACAAGATTTTAGCAACTTTTTGTGTCGTGTTTTTTTCAGCATTGTAAAATAAATATACTTGCACAATCCTGGGAGACACAAAAGTGTGGGAGCTAGAGTAAAAAAGCATTGTACTATCAGCGCAGAATGCGTCAGTAAAAACTATGGTACGTTGCATTAAAGGATGGAAAATAACCATTGAATTCATTAGAAATGTTGTTTATTTCAACTTGAGTCGTGTTACTTCTGCCAAGAACGTTATGAGAGCCACTTGATTTAGTCTGTTCATGTGACGAGTCATCTTAAGCTTTAATTTTTGTGTTTTCCTTGTTTTTTATAGAAACTAGGACATATGTCATGTTAACATTTGAACATGTAAGAAATACATTTTTAGTCTAAATCCCCAAAGATTAAAATTTGTTTCAGTTTTCATATTTACAGCTGGTCGTTCCACATTACAGTTTTTTATTTTTTATTTTGCTTATTTTGTTCTTTCTTCTCTTTTTTTTTTTTTTTTTTGTTTCTCTGTTTCTACCGTTTGTGAAATACTTTCCTTTGTAGTAGTTGTAGATTAATTGATAGATTGCATTAATATAATCTGTTGCAACATTACATAAGATTATTTTAAATTAATCTGCACATAGTGTACCTAAATTCATATAAAAAAGAGCGTGCACACAATTAGCTGTAATCCAGATGTTCCATGTCAGAGAACCAGCTGAGCTATATAAGTCCTCTTATATTTTGTTATTTAAAAACAAAGTTAACCTTTTTGAAAGGTCATTATCTATGTTCAAAAAACATATTTTTATCCTTTTAACTGTCATCTCGAGTCCTTTTTAAGTCATGTTCCCAATGACCATCACTAAAAACTACAAAAAAAATTTAAATAAATAAAAATGCTTGTTTTACATTTAAAAACTTTAACATTTAAGCAGTTCTCTCTTGTAAATGAGTCCCTGAGACTCAATGAGACTAGCCTGTATAAAATAAAGGTTGAATGAAAAAACCTACAGCTTATTCTCTGCGTCACTTATAATATTTAATTACACTTTCACAAACAAGAATGGGATGACTTTTTTTGGTAGCGTCTAAAATGGGAAGTATCAAAAACAAAGCGTACATCTTCCTGCACAGTGAGGAACAATCATCCAGGACTAAATAAACAGCCAACTGATTAACACGGCTTTTTTGAACAGAAGGGACTTTCCAAACACGACACAACATGGCAGCATTTCACTGTGTTTTGTCTCGAGATTCTTGATGGTGAATTTATACACTTTAGAAGAAATCACCCAGAAAGTACCCCGGACCGGGATTTGAAGTTGCCGGTTCAAATCCCAGTCCAGGGGCCTTTCTAGTGCTGCAAGGTGCATCAAAAAGTGTTAGTCTGCATTTTGGCTTACATGAATTTTTGTGAGATTCTGCACATATATGTTTGCACCTGCATGGATATGTGTGTGAGATGGGGGGGGGGGGGGGGTGTTGTGTCATAGGCTGAGATAATGACCATGATGACAGTGGCGTGGCTGATGGGGGCCAGAGGAGCTGAATGGTGACGGATGACACAGGCCTGAGCTCTGATGGCACACAGACAGTGAGTGATGACTGCACATCCTTCCCTGTGCTCCACCCTTCATTATCTCTATGGAGAGGAACACGGCACAAAGGCAGGCCGCGCTGCCCTCTCGCTGCCCTCAAACGACATCTGCTCATGGAGACAGCCACACTACCGCTCCTCTTTCACCTCGCTGTCGCACCATCTATCTCCATCTACGCTGATCTTTCTCGCTCCTTTTCTCTTTTCTTTTCTCTCGCTCTCTGTCCCCCCCGTCCACGGAGGGTACACAGAGGTCAGAGAAAGAGATAATGACTCACCCCCTTTCAACCTTTCAAATCAGGGCCTTTTCTTTCTCTCTGCCCTCCTTGTTCTTTCACTCTTAATCCTTTCTTTATTGATCTTCTCATATTCGCTTGTTCTCATGAGAAGTCTGATCTGATGTCACGGATTGAGGGGACCCCAGATGTTACTTTTTTAGTTAACTGGTTGAATCTTTTGATGGTGAAACTTGTTCTAAACCTGTAAAATAACATTTAAAAGAAGTTATCCCATGTGTGCCTGTTAACAATACATGCAGAGCAGGCAGAGACACTTTGAGCCAATACCACAGTTAAATTAGGTAAATGTTGCCATCTAGTGGTGAAGTTGAGGCGGTGCAGCTTTGAGGTTCTGTTTAACGCACAAGAGAGGACCCAATGAGACTAATGAGCATGCAGACAGGTTCACCCAGAGGTCACCATCTGGCCAATTACCACTGCTGGCACATTGGAGCCAACCTGAACTGTCATCACAAACACATCACTCCATGTCCAAACTGCCCAGCAATATGTCACCGTGCCACTCGAAGTGCCATACAGTATGGAGAGATGGGGCAACAGGAGACAGCCCCGTGACAAAGCCACCTGGTCATCATGGCAGACACGACAGACTGCTGGACCACCTGCTTAGCTCAGTTTTGGAGGACACTCAGTGGACTCTCAATGTCATTAACCCGTCTCAGTGTCCACCTTGACTGACAGGTGTTTATTGTGTCTTTGACATTTGCTTCCTTGAGGGTGGGGAGGGGTAGAAACAAATCAATCCACAGTGAACAGAAGGCAGAGGATGCTTAAAATAGCTTGCATTGATCACGATGCTGAAACACATACAGGCAACAGTTTGCAGCTGGATGTTTTATGGGAAAGATGTGGTTCGCACGTATTAAACACAACACAAGCTCTAAACTTCCCAGACTTTTCCCACTGCTATGTAATGATTTAATCCAACTGGTATTGTAAACAATAAAACCAAGAAAGAAACACCAATAGTGCTGTGGCTACGACAGGAGGTATAAGGGAGGGTTGCGTTTTGGCATATTATAATAACCATCTGCACAATCAAATAGAAAACTACATCTTGCTGTTCAAATCATAAAGAAGGGGAACAGATGTTAATCCCTAATGGAGTTGACAGGCACTTCCCTGTCTTTCGTATGAACATATTGAGTTTCTGAATAAAGGAGGGGGATCAGAAGGGAAGGTGTATCATGTTGCACTCATAATACATGCATATCAAAGACCCCAGCTGTTGGATTCCCTCTCCTGAGAGACAGCATTATTAAATCTGCACTCAGCAAGCATATCACACCAGCACAAGAGCTTAAGCCTTTCCATCAGTGGGCTCCATCGGCTCGGCGGTTTGCAACCTATCACACAAGGAGATTATATCATCCTTTAAAGTGTACAACTAATCAGTGCCGCACACCTGTGTCTTATTTAGCCCTTATTTGAGATCAGAGTTGAGATCTGAGAAGAAAAAAAAGAAAAAAGCTCAAGTGCTATAAGTATAAGGGAAGTGTGTGGTTCATAATTGGCATGATTCACACACACTCACACTCGCTCTTCGCACTCCTGCTGTCAAGGGATGAGGGCTGAGATACTGCCAAAAACTCTTTTTTGGTTCTCTGTAGCAGAATCCTTGTGGCTGATAAAACCACAGTTTGGTCTCAAACCTAAAGTTTGTGCTTTTTCACTAACCCTGGAGCGAAGGCTCCATCAGTGGATAACAAGATGACCAGTCAGGGTTTGTCCACTAGGTGGCAACATATACCTTCAAATGTGGAGATGACTCTGTCTGCAGCCTGGTCCCAGTGACAGCAGCTTTCATTGACTATGATAAATAAGCTTATGCTCACCTGAAGCAACATCTTTCTCCGTGTTTCCTCCGCCATTCACCTTTTGAGCGCCGACAGATGTGCTGTTCAGGTTCCCCTGAGATCTGAGGAAGGAGAGGAGCGCGCCCTGGTGCACGAGTGGATCTGCTGGTCCTGAGGTCAAACCCTCGAAGGGGGAAATGGGAGGTTCGGTCACAGCTCTGCCCCACTGTTCAATCTTGCTCTGATTCTTCTCTCTGGGAGCGTCGAACTCCGCGCTGGACTGTGCCACTTCCTTTGACTCGAGGACGTCGTTTGTCAACATCTTCCACTTGTCAGGAGCGTCCGATTCCAGTGGATTGGACGATTGCTCCGATTGCTCAAATTCCCGTCCCTCGTTGTGGCCCACAGAGCCTGCATTCAGCGAGTTCATCTCGTCTTTTGTTCCCTGCACCAAAAGGTCACACTGATATGAGGGTTTCACGCCGAGTTCAGCTGGTGCATTAGAGTAACTTTGTAGCCGGCGGGTAATGGAGGACGAGAGTCCATTATTAAAAAGGCCAGACATCTGTAGTGCAGCGGGAGATGTGGCTGCATGAGATGGGACAGAGTCAGGCCTGCAGGACAAATCCAAAGGTTCATACTGGGACTTTCTGGTTGGAGCAGATAAAGAGCTATCTCCACCTGCATGCTTGTCAGTATAATCGGCCTGTTTGCTAACAAGGACTTTTTCACTGTGGCTCTCTGAAGCAGCAAACTGACTGGCAGCTGGGTTCCAGTCCTCCCTAGATCTGGGTTTGGGTTTGGGGCTGCTGCTGCTGTCGCTGGGCTGCAGAGGAGGAGAAAGATCTCTGTTGTCCTGCCAGCGGGGGAAGTTGTAGCGATCCAGGTGAAAGCTGAGGGAGGTGGCGGTGTAGTCACTAGCGAGTGGACACCTGTAGACGTTCTCACCTGACACAGAGAACAGCAGAAACATGACAGGACAGTTAAGAAACTGTGCTTTTATCAAGCATTCTGAGCATTTTTTTTGCTCTACATGCAACAAGACCAGTTGTCTAAACATGAAAAATGTTGCAATCTCACACCAGGCTGAGTTGAATGATTTAAGTGCTGCCCTGCAGTAAATCAAGCTTGTAATCAGCTTTCAGCTCCAGTGATCCATCATTTTACAGTATGAACACCACCACCACGCGCAATAAATACACCCAAAGATGTTAACAGCAAACAAGATTCTTCCAGAAATAATAAACAGTGAAATTGTTAAGCAACTAGAACAAGGCAGATGTTGCAGACATGAGCTGTGTTCCATCAAAGCCAGTAAGTGGCTTTCTCAGTCAAAGAAACGAACAAACAGAACAAATGCAAAGTCCAAACATGTGAGCCGTTCTGATTAAACCCACCATCCACTATAGCTGAGTTTATTTTCGCTTCATGCTTGAAAAATGACACGTTGGGAACATAATTCAAAAAGTACAAAGTGTGTTATTGAGGAGAACGACACAGAGTGATTTTTCTCCCGTTAGCTTGTGAAGGATTTCCGTCTGGAGACAAGATTTCATCTCGCACGCCATAACTTTTAATTAAAGGTAATTTAAATGTCTTCTTCCCTCTGTTTACCTACACTTTCATCCTTATAGCTATCACACAAATACCCTGCAGGGTTAAACACACTCTCTGTGACCATTTTGAGTTAGTGATTGTCTCAGACCTCTGCCTTGCACTGTCTTTAAACAGCCCAGCTGTTTCGCTGCCATTCCAATTACAGTAAAAGTCATCCGACGCCATTAAGCCACAAATATTGGCAGTTTATTGCCCAACACTCTCTTGGCATTTGAAGGTCAGGTCATACATTATACTGTGTCTTTTAGGGATGCGTCTGGGATAGGGAGATAAACCCACCACCATTAATTTAATTCTATGCATATTGATGCCTTATTGTTCTTCTTTAATGGACTAATACCTGAGTTACTGCAGTGATTCATCCCTGCCACAGAAATATCAATTTCATACACCTTAAGATCTGACCCTGAGGTAATGCTCGAAGTTAAATCTACATCTAATGATCTGTGGCTCTACTTTGTTTCCAACTTTGGTAGAAAAACCATCATTTTTTAGCTGAATGGTAGTAAAAGTGGGGCTGTTTTCTCCTATTAGAATCTGCAAAAGCGAAAATAGCACCGGCATATTAATTAAATCGAGCTCAACTTAATGAGATTGAAGAGTCACAGCTGAAATGGAAAAATTATGCCCTTGAACTAAAGTCAGCTCTCCCTCTTTTACATTGTATATGTTTGTGTGTGTGAAGCGTTTTGATTTGATGTCTGCGTACATTTAAAGTGCGTGGCGACGTGCGTGGGTGTGCTAGAGCGGGAAAGAGACCTTAACCGTGCCACACCCTTAGTCTCCAGTAACACAAAAAACAAAAAAAAAAAGCCTAATGGAACTCGTGGAGACACACTATATATCTCAATTATTCTGTGGCTTAAATTACGATGACATTAACGGCTTGCTCCAAAAGCAGAAAACACATATATCTGACCTCATCTTTCATGAATGTGGCCCTTCCTAAACCCATTTGCCAGCCCGCGCAAGAGCGGTTAAACAACACAAAGGATGAAGACGGTGCCTTTTCTCCCTTCCTTTGGATGGGTGCCATCTTTGTGATTGCCTGGTTCATGCTAACTTAATCAGTTTAAGATTTACTTACAGTGCCGAGGCTCACATTATGTGAGAGGAGTAATTTTAGAGCTTAGATTTATCAACCAAAACTCCAATTACTGCATCATTACAAACCCCCAGCCCCGCTCACCTAACACAGAGCATCTAATGAAGTGATGCATATGAGTTATCCTCGTCTGACTAGAGGTGCACAGTAAAGGGAAGGAAAAAAATGGGTAAATAAAAAAATGTGAGGCAATGTCTTTGAAAAAGCAAGCACACAACTGGGCTTGGACAAGTGATTCATTTCATATGAAAATGGGCTTTAAGATTTACAGCCATAGATCCCCCGTCAATGCAATCACACTCTCACATATTATTTGCTTACGCGGGCATTTGGCAGTTATATTGTAGGCATCAAACTCTGCATACAGTGGTGCTTTGGCTCTCTCTATATGTGCAATCACACACCTGAAATGCAAAACAGAGCTGCACGTTGGCTGGTTTGGTTTAAGATGAAACGGAGTGAGAGTCGCACACAAGACTGGTGAGAAAAACAGGGGCACCAGATGTTCTTTGATGTTTATAATAGCATATATTATTAATATTAATTAGACCACATAGTCAATGACGCATTTGGGACGTTTCCAAGTCAATTAAGCCAAATGGCATTCAGGAGACGGCGGAACAATATTTCAAGGCAGGTGTTCAGAACTCCCTGGGTAAATCTTTTTATCTGCATGCTAGGAAAACAAGCATTTTGAGCTTAATTTGAGCCTCATATCTGCAATAATAATTAAAAAGAGGATTAAAAGACAGAAGTGAGAGGGAGATGGAAAAGCCAACAGGTAATCAGTTCAGAGAAACCAGTCAGACTGGCTGAACTCTGAAGAAGAGGTGATTCGCTTAAGCCAAGTTAGATTAAAAAAAACTATTTTTTATTTTAAAGAAGTGTTTTACTGTTTGCAACCATGAAGAATAGACTGATGCAACTGGAGCTAACAAATAAAATGTGATATTCTGAGCAGCAGCCCACTTTGTCTGTGTTTCTGGGTAAACCACTGCTCCTATTACCATTTACAGTTTTACACTTCAGGCACTCTTTGGCTGCGACACTTACAGTAAAATCAGCTTAAAAAGCGGGAGGAAAAGGACAAAACGCATGTAGGGACAGCACCATCACATGGTATCTGCTCGCTGACCTTGAGGTTAAGAATATTGAATGGGACTAATTAATAACTGTCAGCAGATTTTATATTTTTTAGGCATGCTTGTATTCAGATCCAACTGGTCTGATGTAGGTCAGAAGCCTGCAGCATGTGCCCTTTATGAGTTTATCTTTTTTTTTAAAGACGTGTTATTCCTAATCTCAAATTATAATTAAAGCCAAAGAGCATTTTTTAAATACGTCCTGATTAGATATTCAGACAAGCAATTTGTAGCCTCCTTTTGAAATCATCTTCTAATTTAAGATGCTGGGTATTTGTAGTTTCACATCTAAAACCAGTGCTGTATCTGACTGTATCAGGCACAGGCGGGCTCCATGGCTCTGACAGCCATGACTGTACTATATTTGCTATCCATATTGAGAACATCAATAACTTCATGACCACCATAGGCTGACTATGAATAATGCAGCCAGTAATTCTGGACTAATCAATGTTCCTCAAGCTGAACATCTGGCTGTGGTAATTCTTCCTCAGCATCTCCGCTCTCCTGAATTAGAAAACACTTTCTCCCCTCTCTCATCCTCTACATCCAACCTAGTAAGACAGACTTGATCGGTTACACCCCACCCCACTCCCCCTGCATCCCCTTCTTTGAACAAAACTTACCCTTGTTATTAAACTCTCATCAAGTGGTGCGTGTTCTCCATATGTGTAGGATTTACCTATCTGTCCCACAGCAGACCTGTGCGTTGAGCCAGGGCCAGCAGTGTGTGATTGTGTTAATTAATCTGTCATTGTGAGCGCAGGGAGCAGCTGCAGAGGTCTCTGGGATATATTGTCAGAGCTAAACAATGCGGTGCTAAGCCCCCAGAGTGAGTCTACCATTACACAGGACTAAGAACAGAGAGGAAAAGGAGGAGAGGGGGAGAGAGAGTCTGCCAGATCCATCATTGACTAAAGCAATGACGCCTGACCTTTACAATGAATTAGTTTCCATGCTTAATATTGACTGAAATTAGAGTCTGATACTGAATGTGCCATCCCAGAACTGTGCACACTCAAATCCTCAGCTAGCCAACTATCATAAATGTTTCTGGAAGTGACACCGTATGGTCTTGGAGATATGGGAGAGTGGGGGGAAGTTAGAAACAACAGAGCTTGTATATGTTCCTTAAAGAGCAACCAGAGAGGGATTTGGCCACAAACTGCCAGCATTTCCATGTAAATATGCAGATACCAGTATGTGTGTACAATATGAAAACAAAACATCTAATGGGATTAGACCTGATCCATTTATCTCTGCTATACGGACATCGTTTAAGCGGATACTGGATCAAATCCCACCAGAGCGCATCAGACTTAGATAGCTGTGCCACTCGGAGACTGTAAGAGTAAAGCGTGCACATTAGCTATGAAGACATCAAACAAAGTTCAGATTTGTTTTTTCTCTTAACAGCACTGTTCCAGCAGTAATTTAGGCTCATGATAACGTGTTAGCAGGATGCCATGACAAGAAAGGCATCTACCCATTGAGCCGAATCATCCAAATCACCAGGTGGAAAAGAACACTATCAATAAAAATACCAGGTGGTAGATCAAATCATAAAAATCACTGGGTGGTGTATATCAAATCATTAAAAACACCAGATGGCATGCATTAACATCTTGTGCCCCCGTAGGCAAGGGGTGGGGATGTGACAGATATAAAATAGAGGGTACTAATTATCTCCACAATTCAACATGACGCCATTATCTTTAAAAGAAAGACAAAGTCCTCGCGGATGATAATGTCGGTGGTGTTTTACTGACCCCCGTGCTTCATGCCAACTCACTCCGAGTGCGTGAAACGTTGCGCATAAAGAATAAATTGAAGTGAAATCATTACCTGCTGTAATTTGAAATGTGCTGAGATATAATGACTTGTTAACAGAGTAAAAGAAAAATGCATAAACTGGAAATTAGATTGTGGCGCAACCAAAGGGGTTACGTATTCTGAAAAGTTTACACTCACAAAAATTTTGCAGAGAGCTGCAAAACCATTCTCCAAAGGCTGAGCAGTGCTTCTTGTCAAACTTAACAAGGTTTCAAAATTTACAACATTGGATTTTTTTTTTTTTTTTTTTTTTTTACCTGTAGCTGGAGGGGAAGATTGTGGCTGATGGTCTAGAGTACTGCTTGAGTGGGAGTTCCCCATGTCTGTTGGCCCATGATGACTCACACTGCCTGGGCTCCCAGGTCTGCTGATGACTTTGGTGTCTGGATCACTGAGACACAGTTTCCCATCATCTAGACATCGCTCAGACAAGTAGGAAGAGCACTGCTGCTGATCTTTAGCCCTGTACATTTGCTGATCAATAGAAGGTCCGGGCGCCATGATCTGCCAGCCTGCGTAGCTGCCGCTGTTTTTGAAAACCTCTCTGTTAGAGATGACTTTCTGCAGGTATTCCATGCTGGTGGAGCTCAGTGGAGGATGGAGATGATTTAAGCCAAACAAAGAGGAACTCTCCGTGTCTGTTAGAGATCTTGAGGAAATCATCCGCCCTAACATCTCTCTGACCTTAATGTCTGCACCTGCTGTGGCCATCATGTGGTTATAATCTGATAAATCTGCTCTGTTGGGCATAGGGAACCTGTTGTGAAAGCGGGATACGTATTGGGAGTAGAGGTTGCTCACATGGTCCTGTGTTAGATTACTCAACTCAACAGCGGAGTCATGATCAGCAAGGATGCTACTCTTGGCAGCCAGCTTATTGAGGTGGACTTTCATGTGGTTCTTGAGAAACCAGGGCTCCTTGAAACGGCGGCCACAGATTTGACAGCAGTGCTCAAACGAGTCCTTGTGTTTCCTCATGTGGCCCTTCAGGAACCAGGCCTGGCTGAAGGTCTGGCCACACACCTCACAGGGGAATTCACCGACTGGCTTCCTCTTATCAGTATCTCCCACCGACAGTTTTTGTCCCGCACACGAATCGGCAGTTATGTGTGCTATTTCAACGTGGCCGATGAGATCCTCCTCGTGTGCTGCGGCAAACTCACACAAAGTGCATTTGTAAGGTTTGTGTAGGATCCTGATGTGGCGCTCAAGCTCTTGATGCTTCCTGAACTTCCCCTTGCAGAATGAGCAGCGGAAGCTGGTGGCTTGGGCCTGGATGAGCTCATCTGGGACAGCGGTCACTGCAGGAGAGGTGGATGTGTGCGGTTGTAGATCAGCTGTACAACTGTTTACTAACTGAGGCTCTGCTGGGACGGTCGGCAGTAAAACCTTTTGAGGCTGGCTTGTGTTAGAAGGTGGTGGTTGCTGTTGGCTAACAATACCAGCTCTCATTTGCCTGTCTCTAAGTATTGCCCTTTCCTCTAGCTCATGAAGCAGCCTGTTCTCCTCTCTAACCCTCCCACGGCCTTTGCCCAGGATGCCTTGCTTGTGCGTACGGAGGTGTATCTTCAGGTTGCCCTTCTGCGCAGCCCTGTGGTCGCAGTATGGACACTTAAATGGCTTCTCACCGGTGTGAGTGCGCATGTGAAGAGAGAGGATGCTGTTGAAGCGGAAACGCTTCCCACACAGTGGGCAAGGGTACTTCCTGTTCTTACGGTTGTCGTCTTGGGCAGAATTAACCTGCGAGACAATGCTCTGATTTGTGATTCTTAAGAACTGAGAAAGCTCCACTCTCCCGTTCATACTGCTGAGAATTCTTCCATCCATGATTTGATTGGCCAGAAGTGCCATCTGGATCCTAATTGGGTGGGTGGATTGGGTAATGAAGATGCCCTCTCGGGGACTGGGTGACGTTACTGTTTGGTGATCAGGGGTATCTTTCTGGTACAGTCCAAATGTTAGCAGTGAAATGAAGTCCGTTTGCAATTAATCAGCTGAACCAGAATCAGGATTCCTGCTGCTCAGATGCAACTTCTGTTTGCTGCTGCTCGCACCTATAAAAAGAAAAAAAAACATCATATTATTCTAAATTACTTGCAGTTTTGTATGGAAATCACACAAAAAAAAAACCAGGCAAGTTAGGTGTCAGTACATTTATGTGCTGTCACTAAAAGTGAAAATCTGCAACTGCACAATGCCAGTGATGCACCGCAAATAGGTCAGGAAATAGAGCAAAGTAGGTTTAGACACTTGTCATCCTGTCTTAAGTATACCGGTGGTTTTAGATTATTGTTGGAGACAATAAAAATGCTGATTATGTCTAACCACAAGGCTTCCTCCACAAATGTCTCATCCACACACAAAGGTAAGGTGAACATCTTGTCTAGATCATGTTTTGTAATGACACGATACTGATGCAGCACAAACATTAAATCTGCCTACTTCAGTGGGTTTTTTTTCTTTTTCAAAATCCTTAGAGGTCAAAATAAGATTAAAGTAAATAGCTGAGCTTTAGCTGTTCTCCTGCATGTTTGAGTTAAACTCTTACAAGTATAATTATCTCACCCTAGCATTTAAAAAAATGAAACAACAGAGTATAAAATGCAAAAAAGTCAACTACTGTAGCAGCTTGGGGGAGGATATTGACGTAGAAAGCCTCCACTTGCCAGCTTTTTTTTTTAAATGCAACTGTGGCATCAAAACAAAGCTTCAAATTCATGTTGTGCTACAATGATAGAGGTCACACAGACGAGCTCTGCGCAGCTCTACAGCAGCACCAAAGGGCGCAGAACAAAGAATGCACTGTCCACCCTGAATTAACACAGGCTTACATCATCCTGGATCACAACCTCAGTCAGTCACGAAAAACGATGTACACAAAACCACAAAAAGACAAAAAGTTAGCGCGATGGTATGCATGTTGTTGTGTGAGCTGCTCACAGCAGAATATCAGAAATTTACATCACCACATGGTATTGACCAAATCATGCCTGACTGGGGGGAAAAGTCTGCAAACTGTGTTGCAAACTTGTGGATCCCCTTTTTATTTGTTAACCTGGTATTCAGCAGTCACACCACATCACAGAGCACACCGTGTTCTCTGTTCACTTCCCACTCACTTTCAAGGATTACTCTCATTACAACTATTGTTGCATTTACCTCTAATAATGCCATTACCTCACTGTAGCCTTGAATGTGAAGTGTTGTGCATTGTATCAATTTAGATTCTGCAAAAAGGTCAATAATGATTGATCAAACTCGGCTCCGAAAGGCTTTACATTGGCAGCGTTTTTCTCCAATTACGTTGCGTGTGTTTGTTTGCCGAGCAATGCAAGTGCTCCGTCTTGTCTGTCAGTCTCATCAAGCTGCTACAGAGCAAATGCAGCCAATATTTTCATAATTCAAACTCAACAAATGTGTTGATCAAAATACAGGGTGCCATAAGCTCATGGCTTAGTCTACGCGATACGCGGTTATACGGAGTATACCCACTAGAAAAGCGCAAGAATTTCAGTATACCCACTTAAAAGTTTCCAGTGATACATGACATATCATTAGGAATGTTTCACTGATACCTTAAACGGCAGCTAAACGCTTACGTAACAATCTGTCTGTGTTCAGCGCTTGTTTATTACATTCGCTTATCCAGCGAATTATTGTATAATTCTGTACTTACTACTTAATACTTGAACATGTTTTACTTTGATACTGTTTTATAAATCCTGTAACATGTTTTTAATACAAAGCCAACTGTTGCACAAAGTTTGTTGTACATTTATTCAAATATAAGCATCAGAGAAACTTGGAAACGTTCAATACGCTTAAAAATCTAAATAAATTGACGATCACATTGTACTAACCAGTGTACTTTGGTTTCTAAGCACAGTACATGTATAACCAAAATGTAGACTTAACCACTGCTTTACACCCCTCAAATAAAGACACTCGATTCAGTGTAAGGCCTCTGAAATATAATGTTTAAGTTTGAGCCACCTGCTGCTGCAGCAGCCTCAGTCGGTTGTGAAAATGTTAAAAGCACACAGATAAAGAGCTGCCTGCAGCCACAGCATGTCTGAGCATTGTGTCTGCTCCGAGCTGAGATCAATGTAAGGATATGGGGCTGACCTAATCATTTCTGACAGGCAGAAAGTAAGCGGAGGATATTAGCATACACTGAATCCACTTCATATTTACGAAAGTGGTATTTCTGATTAACTAAGCATAACAAGTTGGCCAAAAGCCCCTCATCACATGTGTGTCTGCGATTTGGTAGGAATAGGTGTCGATGTGAGTGGGGCCATTAGTTGTTTTCTCTGTCAAAGTGAATTAGGCTCTTTTTGGTGCAGAATGAGAGAGTGCTTGATTGTTATGAAGCATTGTGTCACAGCGGCGCTTCTTAGGTGTGGCCACGCATAGATGAAAAAGGCGCAGGTGTGATTTAGCGCAGGCAATAAAAGGGGGAACAAAAATGTGACAGATACACATACACAGTTAAAGTGGCCATGGGAGCTGCAGATTCCAAATGATTTCTGGATCAAACATTACATTTGCTTTCATTTCTGTCTGGCAAAGGTTCCTATAAAGGATTTAACCAGCAATACAATGACACTTTAGCACTTTGAAGTATCTGCTTAGTAGGTGGGCAGTATTGTAAATTGACAGCGAGAGCACACTGGAATGGACAGATGAATGGTGCCATGTTTTTTGTTTGTTTTTATTTAGGCTGTATTTGAAACTATTAATAATATATGTTGACTGCAAGTTGAAACTCAACCATTAACTAAAAAGCAACAGAAGATTTTAAATACAACGGTCAACCTTCTGATACTTGACATAAAGTTTAAAGGCCTAGCCTTATTTGAGGTTTGCATATCACCCATCACCTTTCATGCCAGCGTTTTAAAAATAAAACTCTTTATGATGAGGTGGTAGTTACAACCATTTAGGTCAAACCGTTTGGCACAATCTCATGTGATGTTCTTTTGTGTTGAATGTTTTGTGCAAAATTATAGCACAATGTATAGTGATTTAAGTATGTTTTAGGGGTGATGTTCAAATAACACTGCACCAAAATGTAACTTGATGTATTTAAAATATGGAATTGTAGCCATTTCTGTGTTTCCTACAGTGACCATCTTGATTTAAGGAGACTCCAAAAGTTAATAACTTGTATACCCAGTGACTATTCTCTATATATTTTATAAAATTATGTTCTGTGTGGCATGAAATATTTTGCATATAGACCGAGTTGAATCAAAACATTTTTGACAAAACTTTGCAAACAAATTTTGTGCATTCAGTTTGTGCTTCAAGTCTCTTTCTTCTTCTTTCGGCTTTTCCCCCTTTCAGGAGTTGCCATAAGGAGTCCTCACTCCAACTACCTCCATGTCCTCTCAGACTGCATCCATATATCTTCTATTTGGCCTTCCTCTTTGTCTTTTTCTTGGTAGCAGCATTTCTAACATCCAATATACCCAGTATACCCACTGTCCCTCCTCTGGACATGTCCAAACCATCTCAGTCTGGTCTCTCTAACTTTATCTCCCAGTTGTTCAACCTGTGCTGTACCTCTGATGAGCTCATTCCTAGCCATCCTTGTCACTCCTAGGAGAACCTCAACATCTTCAGTTTTGCCACTTCCAGTTCTTCCTCATGTCTTTTCTTCAGTTCCACAGTCTCCAGACCATACAATATAGCTGGTCTCTCCACTGTCTTGTAAACTTTTCCTTTGACCTTTACTGCCACTCTTTTGTCACAAATCACTCATGAAACTTTTCTTCATCCACTTCATCCTGCCTGGACTCTCTTTTTCACTTTTTTACCACACTACCCATTTTTCTGGACAGTGGACCCCAAGTACTTGAAGTCCTGCACCTTTGTGATCTCTGTTCCTTGTAGCCTCACTGTTCCACCGGCCTCCCTCTCATTCACACACATGTACTCTGTCTGACTATGGCTGACTTCCATTCCTTTTCTTTCAAGTGCATACCTCCACCTCTCCAAGTTCTCTTCCACCTGTTCCCTGTTCTCACCACAGATCACAATGTCATCTGGAAAAAAAAAAAAAAACATAGGTCATGGGGATTCCCGCCTGACCTCATCTGTTAGTCGGTCCATCTCCGGAGCAAACAAGAAGGGGCTCAGTCAGAGCCGATGTTTGATCCAATCCCACCTCCACCTTTAAGCTATCTGTCACTCCTACAGCACATCTCACCACTGTCCTGCTGTCCTCATACATGTCCTGTACCAGTCTAACATACTTCTCTGCCACTCCAGATTTTCTCATGCAATACCACACCTCCTCCCTCTGCACCCTGTCATATGCTTTTTCTAAATCCTCAAAGACACAATGGAGTTCTTTCTGACCCTCTCTGTACTTCTCCATCAGCATCCTCAAAGCAAAGATGGCATCTGTGGTGCTCTTTCTCAGCATGAAACCATACTGCTGCTCACAGATAGCCACCTCTCATCTAAATCTAGCTTCCACAACTCTCTCCCAGATCTTCATTGAGTGACTCATTATCTTAATTCCCCTGTTGCTACAACTCTGTACATCACCCTTGTTCTTAAAAATGGGCACCAGCGCACTTCTTCTCCATTTTTCAGGCATTATCTCACTCTCAAATATGCAATTGAATATTTGAGTCAAAAACCTCACAGCCATCTCTCCAAGACATTTCCAACCTCCACTGGTATGTCATCAGGTCCTACTGCCTTCCTCTTCATTCTTTTCAGAGCTTTCTGAACTTCACCCTCACTAATCTTTCCCACTTCCTGGTCCACAGTTTCTATGACCTCTACTCTTTTTTCTCTTTCGTTCTCTTCATTCATTAGCTCCTCAAAGTACTCCTTCCATCTTCCTGTCACACTCTCCTCACTTGTTAGAACATTACCATTCCTATCTTTAACTAGCCTAACCTGCTGCACATCTTTTCCAGCCTGATCTTTTTGTCCCTCCAATC